TATAAAAGGCAATTAAAATGAGATAATTTATATAAACATTACATTTTTTATTTATTTTTACATTTTAAAAATTATTATATAAATATATATTCAGGAAATCAAGCTAACAGAAGAGGAAGCGCACACGCACACATTTATAAATCTGCATTCAGTCCGAGCTAGAGCAAACATGCAGGAGGTGAGAACGAGCGGTGAAGACGTCATGCAGAGCGTTAGTGTCATGCATCCGTTACCCATAATGCACAGCAGCTATGTGTTTGTCTGTCCGTCGGCCGCTGCGCTGCTACTTACCACGGATTCATATAAAAGGCCAAAAGATAGTCAGTCCAAAGGCAGGACGGCAGAAGCGTGAGGAACGCAAAGAGACTCCTGCGCCTGAAGCCCATTGAACAAAACAGAAAGCAAAAGACCAAGAGCAAAAAGTTAGGGACAAAACACGGTGCTCCATTAGTAATAGTGACACACACAGATGATTGAGCATATTTCATTAGTGACAGGTTAATGATCGCGTCATGCAGTCAGTGTCTTTGTCTGTTGCTCTTCGTGATGTGTGAATCTGTGACTGCTGCTGATCGCAAATTCTGAAAGCACGATACATTTGCTTGAGATGTACAATGACTTTTAGGAAAAATGTATCAAAATGAAAAAAAAATGTATCAAAATGAAGTGAGTTTTTGCATAAAACACGAACTAATGTCTGCCAATGGAGTCAGAAAAGAAATCGGCTGGCAGATATTAGTTCCTGTTTTAAGCAAAAATTTAATTTGAAACTTAATTTTGATACATTTTTCAGAAAACAAGACTTCCCTACAAATCTAAAACTGTTGTGCTATTGTAAAAAACAGCTTATGCAAAGTCAGGTTTTATTCTTCTGAACTGAACTTTAATAATTTTACATTTTTAAATCATTTTAAAACATCGCTCTCTATATATATTATACTATTTATTTTGAATACATTTATAAATTGTATAAACTTAATTATACTGAAATTAACTTGAATTAAACTTTAAATACTTTTTATTTTGATATTTTGAAATCATTTTATTTATAGATTAAATTATATGATGTATATTTTTAATAATAAATAATAAATTCACAGGGCAGGATGTTGGTGTAGCGGTTCTTGGGTCTGTTGACAGGCAGATCAGCCGCTTCATGAGACAGATCCAGACCGACGCTCTTCAGCTCCTGACAGAAACACAAACAAAGCCAATAAATCACACGCGTGACACGGCAGACGAGTGTTCACGTGTTCACGTGCTCTGTGCGTGCTTTACCTCAAACTGCAGCGAGAACTTGTACGCCGAGTCTTTGCTCATGTCTTTGATGTAAGCCTCAAAATCACTGAGCTGAACGGGACTGAAGACACAATCATCACATCACACACAAATCAGTGCAATCATAACTCACACAACGGCACTAGCGGCATGGGTTTACCTGGTTAGTTTCCTCTTCTTCAGTGCTGTTTTGCTCCTGCAGGTGAAACACAGACCCATGAACCCTACAAACTAAACATGCATTGTCTGCAGCCACAGATAATAATCCACATTCACTCATTCTGCGGGATTTGAAGCATTAATGAAGTGCTTTTATTAACTGATTTAGTGTTAGGTGAGCTGTAGGGTTCATGCATTACAAACACAGATCTCACGACTGCTTCACAGGTTTACAATCACAACATGTGTCTGATATAAGATTTAAGGTTAGGAAGTGATTTTATCATATTTCATGATTGTGGTCATTCTTTAAAAAAAAAAAAGTGTTTTTTCGGCTGGCAGATATTAGTTCCTGTTTTAAGCAAAAATTTAATTTGAAACTTAATTTTGATACATTTTTCAGAAAACAAGACTTCCCTACAAATCTAAAACTGTTGTGCTATTGTAAAAAACAGCTTATGCAAAGTCAGGTTTTATTCTTCTGAACTGAACTTTAATAATTTTACATTTTTAAATCATTTTAAAACATCGCTCTCTATATATATTATACTATTTATTTTGAATACATTTATAAATTGTATAAACTTAATTATACTGAAATTAACTTGAATTAAACTTTAAATACTTTTTATTTTGATATTTTGAAATCATTTTATTTATAGATTAAATTATATGATGTATATTTTTAATAATAAATAATAAATTTAAATTAATATAATTAATAATTTTAAATTTTTATTATCTTTACATTTTAAAATAATTGTATTATATATTAATTTATATTTATATATATTAATTTAGAATTAATATACATATTAATTAATCATTTAGATATTTATCTCTGTCTATATATATAATTTTATCATATTTCATGATTGTGGTCATTCTTTAAAAAAAAAAAAAGTGTTTTTTTAGTATAATTTATGAGATGTATATTTTTTTATTTTTGTTTAAAATGTATTAAAATGTATAATTTATATACATATTATTTAAAAAAAAAATGCGTTTATTTTTTATTGTATTAAATCTTTCTTTCTTTTCTTTGTCTTTCTCCATAACCTTCCATATTATGATTTTATTATGATTTACTAAATTGAATAACTATAAATTTTTAAGTATAATTTTAAAAACATAATAAATTGATTTTGTTATTATTAAAAT